ACATAACTACTCAAAGTGCCGGTCTAAGGATTCCGAAGATTCCACTGAACAAATCAAAGTAATTACTAATTAATAAAAGAGTCTATACTTCTCTCATGCTTAAGAGTCAAAAACTATGATAGTGACAGGAAGCAATTGCATACGACGGCTCTCGCAATATATCTCAACCTAACGCGAATCCAATTCAAATCTTAATTAATTATGAGTCCATCTATAATTACCGACTATGAATAATTTATGATTACTATTTATATTCATGTATTGATCGCCATCACATACATATATAAATATCTCTTGTAATCAAGTGGACACTATCAATTCTATAATGAATCGAAACATAATATATTGAATTCACTAATTGTATAAAGCATAAATATTTCAGATACGTCAGGAACATATGTCACTTTAATCCAAATAGGAATTCGCTATGCTAGGGCATATAAATCCCATCAGCATAACCCATCTTCAATAGGCACAGACCGTCTACCTAACTCTATTAATCCAATATGTAACACGGTCCATCTTCTCTAGGCAATCAAAACCTTAACATTACATATATATCATGAAAACCATTGCATAATTTACATGCTTATTGTCAGTATAAGCATGTTTAAAAGTTCAAATCTAAATAAAGCATTTTCTAGATAAACATTTCATTGAGAATGAATGTATACATGAATTCCATTTACAAAAGTCTTACAATTGTAACCCACAAAATCATACAACTTGCAATGCTAAAAATCATAAATTCACCCCCCCCCCCCCCCCCGGCGAAAAAAAAAAAAAAACCTACAATTTAAGCCATAAGTACTCGGATTGGGTTACATCATTCCCCCAAGAAAGGACTTAGCCTCTCATGGTCAAGCTTGCAGCCTCAAATGTTGCTGAAGAAGATCCAAATTTGCGCTCTATCTCTGCCTTCTTTTTCACCTCTGTAATATTTCTCTCTCTAGGTTTTCAAACCCCAAAAAACTAATCTCCCAACATCAAGGCCCTTTCCCCCCTTTATCCTCTATCCCTAAGGCTTCAAAAACAAGTCAAAAAGACTCCAATTTTCGTGCTATATCTTTTTCAAAAGAAGACCCACACGTCCCCTTAATTTGTGGAGCAAAAACTTGATGCTCTCTTTTGTGTTTCCAATAAAAATGTGTTTTAATATTTAGATTTAGAATTGTTAAATGGGTATCAACTTTTACATTTATAAAATTCACTTGGATCGGATCATCCGTATAATATACAAAACAAAACTCTAGATATTTGATATCTTTCTCTTTAAATAAGATCTCAATTCCAGCGACGGATATAAATGAGTTGAAAAAAAAAAGAAAGAAAAAGGGAAGACTTTTTAAGTATGACCCGATTCATCACTTATACGTTAGTATAGTGAGAAGGGATCGTCCATAGGGATTATCGGCTTGGAATCTAACTTGACATTAATGAGCGTGAGATTGAAACTAAGTTTGTTTGGTTGATTATACTAATGTTGAACAATGTGAAAATGTAATTAAAATTAAAACTAAATTAAGCTTGAGTTAAATGATAGGAAGATAGACTTAGGGCATGGAATACACCACTAAACTCATACAACTAAATCAAGTGCCTTCAATTAATAGGGAAAACTTATTGTAATGAAAATGTGGCTACCGGCACACATCAATAATCAAGAAGATAATACAAATTGCAATGAATAAGCATGGACTATCAAATTCAAGCATGAATTGTCTACCTAACTACAATTACTCTAAGGTGTAGTACAAACCCATCAAGACTACGCATAATCCATCAAACTAATTAGCAATTGTATCCAATAAAACCATGCATGGCCATCACTAAGCACAATTACAAAAAATCATTTAGGGTAGAGATTAATCCTCAATTAATTACACATAAAACAACATGCAACCAATATAAAAAATCAATAGAAAGACTTATCAATAAAAACCTTGGTATAACTAAGTTTGAATTCACAAGACCAAGAGCTAATTACAATTAATAATCCCCAAAATTAAAAGACAAAGGTTTATTTACACAAGCTTAGGGCTCATCCAAGCCCTATGTGAAGAACTAGCCACTCATGGAGAAGGTAGATGTCATCATAGTGGCTTCACAATCCATCTCCAACCTTTAGCTCTTCTTCTTCTTTTTCTTCTTCCTTGGTTGAAACCCTAAAGAGAGATTGTATGAATCTAAAGAGAGAATATCTCAAAATATCCTAATTTTAATCTCTAAACTTTGCAAATGTCCAACCTTGTTCCAAAATGGGCTAATCCACCTTATATACGTGGCTCTTGTGACCTCAAAATGGTCAGATCATGTACACAAGAATTTCCAAATGATTGCACCACGAGCCCCCTTGAATCAAGGCTTAAATTCTGATTTTTGCAGTTTTCGAGGCAAGTTCGATCGATTACACCATTGGTTTGATTGATCACGGGTTGTTAGAAGATATTTATGTGTGATATTTATGTGGATAGGGACAAAGTCTTCAATCGATAATAGTTTGTCTCGATCAATTACAAGTTGATGGGAGACATTTATTTGGATAAGGACAAAGACATTTATTTGGATAAGGACAAGGTCTTCGATCCTTCTGTAATTTTTGGTGTAATAACTTCATATATGAATATTTTAATATAGTATATTGTAAATGTTCAACAAGGAATTTGGAACTTTTATTTCAGGACACTCATGATAACTTTACTATGATTAGATGATGTATTTTCCCTGGGATTGTTTATGGGGAGGATTTATGGCCACCTTTTGTTAACATTGTTCATGCATGTCTTAAGATGATGGGTTGGATGCATTTATTTCAACACTACACTTGTCCAAATCTTGATTTATACATGGTGTAATATGGATGAAAATGCCTTGTTTTATTGTGCAAGTGATAAATAGGTTCAAATATTTTAAGTAGAAGTAATAGGGATAAAAAAAGTTTTAAGAGGTTGGAAGGAATCACTTATGCATGATGTCATACAGATGAAAATGCAATTTTCTCCTTATCCAACTCTCTCTCTCTCTCTCACATACACATATCATCATTTGAGCGTTGTAGAAATGAATTTTTTTTCCAAATTTTACGTTCTTTCTCTCATTTTCTTTATTTTTATTGCAATTTTTCTTGGTTGTTGAATTACATTTTTACAAATTTTTGATATTAAGATAATTTAATATTATTATAAATAATTTAAAATAATAAAATACATTAATACAAACAACCATTGCCAAAAATATATTTTCACAATGAGAAATGATAGGTCTTCCGACTTTAATTGCCTACTCCTCCTCCGAATACAACGTGGTTGAATCCCGTTGGAACTCTTAAAAAAATTCCTATAAACATCTCTTTCTCTTCGACTCATTCTCAACCACGTTATATTTCGGAAGAGGAATTGGCAATTGAGATCGGAAGATCTATCACTTCTCTTTCACAATACTGACGTTACCAAACTTGTTTTTTATGGCATGCTTTCAATATTTTCACAATACTGATGTCACCAAACATGTTTTCATGTTTTTGCTTCCGAAACATGGACGTTACCAAACATATTTTCATGTTTTTGCTTTCTAAAATCTTATAACAAAGAGACGTTACTGAACAAGTTTCAAAACAGTATTCAACAAACTCTAAAAGCAAAAACATTGATTATGCTTCAGGTCAAAGTGAAAGCACAAGCCAACTGTGGTTACCAAATGGACCTCGAGAGAGTCAAACACTCCTTATTATTAGCTAAGGCGGTATCCAATTTAGCAATGATTCTTTTACGAGAACCCTTTTTACTGGTCTAAAGACCAGTTACCATTGTGCACAGGCAAATCTTCCAATTTGAGTCTCCTACGGACCTCAATATTCATCCAAAAAAAATTTAGGATACTGCAATCCACCTTTTTTCTCACCATTATACGTTATCATATTCAAAAAAAAAAAAATTATTGCATTACAAGAACCAGAGAACAAAGCATGATGATATTTTAGAGTCGTCCAATGATCCTTCCTTTCCCTCACAGTATATTAGCTCGATAAATAGCAGAAACGAAAATAGTAACACGAGGCTTTAATCAACATAGCTTGGTGTTATGTTTTTGGTTAATACCAAAACAATTTTTTTTGCTGGGAGGGGGGAGGGGGGGACGGAATTTTTTTTGAAAAATTCAAAATTTTGTTTTAATTCCTCCGGTATGAAAACACACAATTTCACTAATTTTGTGATATGGGTTCTGGGCAAAAAAAATGAAATTATGTTATGAACTATTTCAAATCCTAAACATGATACGGGTCCAAATTTAAATATCTGTATAAGAAAAACACTTTCTATTCCAAACAGCCTAAGTAAAAGAGATATAATCCTTGTTCGACCCGAAACAATTGGAGTCAACACCATTACCATTGACATCAATTATGTGGTATTTGTTATTATTTAATTATTATTATTATTGTTATTATTATTATTTTTTATAATTGTGGTAAAAGTTAGAACCACTTAACAATCTTCCTTTTTAACGAAAAAAAACACACTTAACAGTCTTCCTATAACAAAGTTTATTATTAGTAGAAGAGATAATACTCGTATACTCGAGGCGGTTGTGATGGATGGAAATCAAATCTCTCAATGGAGTTAATAGAGAGTTCTCGCTAATCTGGACTCCTAGAAGTGGTAATTGTGTGGCTCATGAATAGTGACAGATTTAATGTAATGTTATATTTGGGAGCAACGAATCCGCAGTTTGGATTTTGATTTGTAATGCTATATTTGGGAGCACCGAATTGACAATTTGGATTTTGATCTGTAGAGCTATATTTGGGAACATTGAGTCGGCAATTGGATTTTGATAAATTTAGTTAAAGTTTTAAAATAAATTTTCTCATATTTCAAATCTAAAGCACTGACTCATGCTCCCAAAGGCAATATAAGTGGATTTCTGCATAACAAATAAGAAGCCCATCGTCATTGTGTGTTCGGAAGGCTGCATCATCCAGTCACCAAAAGAAAGAACACTAGGAATAAAAAGGTAGACATAGAAGCCAATCCCTCAACTTACCCAGAGAAAAATCATTATTCAGATCTTCACTATTATGTAATTTCTGGGAGTTTCTCTTGGGCCAAACATCATCATACACCAATCACTACATGCTGTTTTTGAATGCATGCAATGAATGTAAAACATGTTCCAAATACAAGAATTACTGTTCAATTCAATCCCCGGAAATTATACTTGCTGAAGATTGATACAAATGGTAGGCGAGTTCATGAATAAAATCTATTCATGCTTCTTTCGGTAGACTTTTCCCGTGGGGATTCTGCTGAGGACACCAGTATCCAACTTCCTGTAGTGGTGCTGAAGCTGTTCGAGACCATTGTAAACAAAGCCGTCAACTTCGTCTTCATACTTCTCGTACAGAACAGGCAGAGTGTGGGCAGCTACAAAACCTTAACCAACAAAAAAACAGAGTTCTCCATGTCAAAATTATATCTTGATAATTAATACTCCGCTTGGTATTTACAGAGAAACACGTGCTCGAAATGATCCTAGCAACTCACACTAATATCTGTGCAAGAAACTAGAACCAAGTGTTGTGAATGCAACCCTCTCACATTTCGTTAATAATGATTCAAAAAGCTAAAATTCAGGAAAGTGAATCTGATAAAACGCACAAATTTTACAATAACAGCAAGCCATTATTTGCATTGCAACAAGAAATACTTAATCTTTACATTCCAAATTCCGCAAATCTAAAATGAAATTTGGCAATCAACAAATTCTGGATATCATTTTTATAGGCAAAACTTTTCAATGATTCCTTACATTTTACGGGGTAAAGGTGGCCACACATTTGTAAAGTCGGCCAAAACATTTACATTTGAATCTCCCCATTTTGATTCACCCCATGACATATCCAAATATTATGGACGTCCAACAATTGGTTACAAGTATTTTAACATGCTATCAAGCACACATATATACCAAATCAGAATCTTATATCATGACTATAAACACTGCAGTTAAAAATAGTAAGATATCTCACCAACATACAAAACAGTCAAAAAGTTACACCAGCTTCCAATCATACCGGCAACCAATAAGCTTACTACAGCCTGAAAGGATTCCGCAAGGGTCAACTCAGTTGTCTCCATGAACATTAGAGATGAAATAAGAACAAAATAAACAAGTTACTAAAAGCACTCATCATAAAATCTTTATATCAATCATGAAACCACTAAAAAGAGACTTCAAGTTGAGATATACAAATTTATATTCGCCATTCCATGAAAACAATTTAGAACTTTTATCATAATTTTACACAAAAATAAATCAAACGCAATTCTTGTCATATAGATCAGTAATTGATGTTTGTTAGAGCGAGTTGGTCTGCAGAATCTTCAGTACTTGAAAGTGAATATCTCATAAATTAGGAACCATTTGGCAATCCCATATAATAACAAAACTCGGAAGAGAAAAAAATAATAATAAAATTCATGAACATACATATTCATTATTGCCATAAATATATGAATTTAGTATTTTTTTTTTTTTCCCCTGAATATATGTACACAGTATTGACTAAAAGTGGAGCACAAAGTTGGCAAATTTCTTTCAATTTACCTTTACCAAAATAATAAATAATAAATATAAATAAATAAAAAAGGAAACATATGGAATACGAAAGGAACATAGGTTGACTTAATTGGAGGAAAGTAACAATGCCCCATGACAGATAAGTTAGAAACCATGTATTGCAATCAGCCTTTATTTTTCTTCTTCTGACCATGGATCATTGAAACCTTAATGGGATACAACCAAGTACAAGAAATACTAGTCACAAATTCAACAGCCTATGTCGTCTTGCCTTGCATCCAAACATCCATAATAGCTCTCGTCACTAATAAAATAAATATAGACGCTTTATGCTTATCATTCATTAGAGAGAGAGAGACTGTTGTAAAGGCAAATGGGGTTCTAGGATGCTGTAAAGAAGAGAATTCTAGATTTTAAATTATATAACAAAGCAAGGCATAGACGGAAAATTGGTAAGTTCAAACATACCACTAAAAACTCCTTCAAATTTCCCTTAGAGGCAATGTCCTGAAGATAGCCCAAAGCTCGGTTAATCTCAGCACCAACAGAATTGGCAATGTTGACAAATAGCTCCTTAGGTAGAATAAGACGAGGAACTTTAGATGAAGGCCTGTTTCCGTGGAGACATCATCTCACTATTACTTTAATGTTAAAGCACAACAGTGCAGCAAACCAGAAAATAAAAGAGCATAACAAGTTATAGTGTTAAATCACCTTTTCAATACGCCAGAAGCATTTGACAAAAGAAACTGAACAAGCATACCAATAGCCAAAGCAAAGCACAGAAGACTTAGAAAATTGTAATTGAGCCATTCAAAGAGCACCCAAATGCCGGTAGCACCAGTTAAAAAGCTTGCTGAAATCTTCTTGTTCCTCCATAGTAGCACATCAGCAGCTGAAGATTCGAAGGGACAACTAATATTTGAAAAGAGAAAAAGTGAGAGTTCAAGAAAAGAAACATAATACAGAAAATATCCTACCTTTTCCACCCCCAAAAATATGGTGGACTGGCTTCTCACGTCCAAACAGCCGATTGAACTGAGAAGTGACTGGATTTGATTTCTCTTCCTCGAAAAATGACACAGATTTCTGCTTTGAACCACCATCAGATATTGTTTCCATGAGATTGTTCAAAAGATTCTCAGCTGTTATTCCTTCAGGCATTGTTCCTGTGCTTCATAAAGACAGTGAAACTCTTGTGAAAGAATGAACCTCAAAGCTTTTAAGACTCATGATGATAGTATAGGACTTTTGGAAGTATAGAAGCTCATGAACCAAACGTGAAGTTTTGGTAGGAAGTAATAATTTTAGTACGCAAAACAGGATAGAGTATTGTACATAAACAAGTTTTAAAAGGCAAAAATGCTGTCAAGTGGCTTTTCACTCTTGGATACAGATGGGGCCAACACACGTAATCACTAAACCAACTATCAATAAGATACATAATCAGAAATTTGTATCTATATAACATTATTTCAACCAGGAAAAATAAAAAATTTATAATTCAATTTGCCTGTAACAAACATGAATAATAAAATAAAATTCTAGAAAACTTGTGACCTCTTCAGGATGTAGACCATAGAGAACAGAGATCAAGACATTAGTTTTCACAGTAACATAAAAACATTGGCATGGTAAATGATGGTACAATAAAAGGTATTAACTACCAAATTTACTTCATTTTCTTTCAATACTTCTATTTTCTGATTCTCTAATTACCAATATGGAGGACCATAATTATCTAAAGCATTATTACATAGCTATGCTGCTGATTTGTACCTACTAACTCAACGCAATAAGTCTTCATTTGAACTATTAGGCATCATTTATATAAACCCATCGTATACAAATAGTTCTTTGTGAAACCATATGCTCTGTTAATCCTAATGTAATCATGTACTTTCTGATTTCCCCAGCCCACATTCTTTGTCGCTTCCTCTTTCCCTTTTGACATCTTGAACTTCAATCAATTCTATTCCCTATTGGTGCATTAGGTGGTCCACATTAGACATATACAATAATATCTGGAAACAACCCCTCATTTCATATTCAATAGGTTTCATTTCTAACCTTCCACGAATAAATTCATTCCTTATTCTATATTTTCTGATAATGCCAGTCATCTATCTCAACATTCTCATTTTAACTATGCCCATTTTCCAAAAATGTATCTCAGCTTCCTGATATTCTACAATTACATCACAATCTAAAAATGATTCTCTTTTTCATCCATAATGCCTTATTTATATGGAACTATCTTCTTCAATCTCCTCTTCATTTTGGACAGTCAAACGCAAAATGTTAAAAATGGTTACTTCTAGGGATCTATTGGCTATTAAGTTTCTCTATGCCTTCACTGCTACTTTTACTTTGCTAAAATTGCATTCCATATAATTAGTTCTACTCTTGTTTAACTTTACAACTTCTAACTGCTAAGTATCTCACCACAGTTCTAAATCATAGCTAATACCTGCTCTGATTTCTTCTAGTAGGAACTACATTATCAGCGAACATCATACACCACAGGATATCTTCCTGTCATGAGTATACATAGTTAGTTATCCATAACTAATACATAAAGATTAGGACTCAGCACAAATCTTTGATGCAAACATTATTAATGGATTTCACTTGTTCTCCTCGTCCCATTCAAATACTATATACAACACAATCAAATACATCCTCACCCCTCAGTCACGTCAATGAATCTGAGAAATAGTCCATTGTTTCTAAATCATTTGTCTCATGATCTCATCTCCCTAGAGACCACATTACATGATTTTTTTTTTTTTTTCAAAGTAAAGAGGAAAATAAATTCCTCAATTAATATTCAAAATAGTATCAACAGAGTACAAGGGCACAACATGTTTTAATCGCTTTGCACAAGAAATTCAATTCAAGCAAAGGGTGGCAGACCATTGAGGATGACACTACCATCAGCTATCAAAACTGTAACTTGCCACATTCCCAAGTAAATGGAAAAACAGAAAATGAATATAGAAGCAGTCCATTGAGCAAAAATGAACATTCAATTCAAGCAAAGTACGGCAGACCATTGAGCAAAAACACTGCTACTAAGAAATGTTAACATTTCACGAGAACCAATAGTCTCTTGCTTAAAATTCATAAATCAATAACCCATCGGCATTAGCGACAAGCAACTGGCTATCAGACCTTTTGTGGGAAATAATAGCAGCGAACAACTCCCTTATATCATTATATCAGTTTTATTTTATTCATCCGAGTTCATATCTGGATGTACCTAAAATGCTACCCACAATAGATTCAAATCAACACACACACACACACACACACACACACACACACACACACACACACACACATATATATATAGCTATATGCTGGAAAACTTTGATATAGGTAAATTGGAAAAAAGGAAGCGTAGAAGGCAGTAGGTGAGGATAAATTTGAAAAATACGCTGCTTTAGATAATAATTCGAGTACAAAGGATGTATAGAAGCACTTATAAAGACCATATAGGATGGCAGAAAGAAATGCAGAAAATCAGGCCATATTTAGCATAGAAGCAATGACCATCAAATAATTTTAGTAAAAGGGAGGGAAAGAAAATCCGGAAATTCTTACTAAAACAAGGAACTTAACTATGAGAAAATTTAGTAACTCTATTGAAAATAAAAATAGCAGGGTTTTTCAGAATTCTTAAAAGTGTGGGGGGATGGTTATGTGGCCAAATTAGCTTCAAGGAACAATTAAGAAACAACATGTTCCAAAAAGAAACGCAGCCAAAATCAATATCTTAGGACGGATGAGTAGTGATATGATGGAAAGGATAAAATTAGAAATGAATGCGATCATGAGAGGGCGAAATGGTACTAAAAATAAAATAAAAAAATGATGGAGAACTAGTGAAAAAGTATGGATATGCCTAACTGAGACTAATTAATTCGCACGGTCGGGAGAGTAATTTGAACCAAGTTCAAAGTGCTACAAGCAGAAGAGAAAGACAAATAACAAACTGAGGTTGTGTTGAAGGATACAATGTCCTTGAACTTAACCAAGAACTTGACAAGCACTGGAGAAGAAGGGTCCACTCAGTCATCCACTAGTAGTAACAGGGAATAAGGCTTTATGATTTATGTATTTATTTATTTATTCTTCAATTTTTTCCTACAAATTGAAATTCAATCTATACATTTACTTTGTAGAATATCATTACATATACATGTACATATGCAAAAGGCTGACGCCAATTACAAGATATCAACATAAAAATCTCAACGCACACCAGGGTTATGAAGCTCAGAACTGTATTAAATCCACAAAATGTCAAACATACTTCAAACATTAACAGCAATTCCACTAAGAGATAGTACAGTCAAAGAGCAGGCAATACAAAATGACCCAGATGGTCAGATTCTATATCAAATCAAACATAACAAAACAGATTAAGCAAATTGCACAAAGCAAAATGTAAACCCAAATCTATCCATATCTTTCAACTCCTGGACACCCAAAAAAATTCAAGAATTAATCCAAACTCGAAACAAACTAAAAAAAACATCACTAAAAATCCAGAAACACGATATGAAATTCAATCTATGATGAATCTGACTGAGCTTTCGCAGCACTAGTAGTAAATTACCGCAGAGACCAGTGAAAATAACCAACAGCTTGAACTCCAAATGTGGAAGTTTATGGTGTGGCTGCTGAAGCAGTTTTTTATTTTTGTTTTTCGGGTCAATCTTCTTATTATTACGAAGAAGAAGAGTATCAGACTGGTTCAATTACGTGGACCAATTATAATGACGAGAACCGGTCATTCCTTTAGCTGACCCAACCTAACCCAACCTAACCCAATTATTGGCGGCTGGTTTTTACGCGAGCAAAAATATACTGCACTTTATTTATCGATCTATGGAATTTTCAAACATTTTTAATTTATTATAATACTATGTATTATTTTTTTCAATATACCTATATTATTATTAAATGTGCAAAGAAGCATTTCAGTATATCATTATTAAATATACAAAGAGTTTCAGTGTTTCAGTATTTCAGTATTTATTTATTAAAAAATATTTATTAATTATTTCAATAGTTCAGTATTTATTTATTAATATAAAAAAATATTTATTAATTAATATAAAAAGTGTTTTTATAAAAAAAATTCTATAAAACTCTAACACAAATTACCTAATAAAATTTCAGTATTTCAGTATTTATTTATTTAAAAATATTTATTATTTATTTCAATAGTTCAGTATTTATTTATTAATAAAAAAAAAAATTTATTAATTAATATAAAAAGAGTTTTTATAAAAAAAAAAATTATATAAAACTCTAACACAAATTACCTAATAAAATTTCAGTTACTTATTTTATTTTCAATAAAACTCTATCTCACACACACACACACACACACACACACACACACACATATATATATATATATATATTAGGCCAGTGGTGTGCATATTTTTTCTTTTTTCTTTACATAATTGGTCTCATAAGTTTTTTCCATACTTTTTCTTTTTATAAACATTATTATTATTATGTATTTTTTCTTTTTTTCTCTTTCTAATTGATAATTGATTTGTTTTATTTTTATTTTCTCTTTCTAATTGATGTTTAGAAGTGGTTGATTTTTTTTCTTCATTTTTTTATTTTATTATTTTGATTCATTCTTAATTTATTATTATTTTGAGTCATTATTTATTTTATTTTTTTCCTTTTTCAAAAGTATCATTCTTCTTTTTTCTTTAGTTTTTATTTTTATTTTACTCTTTGTAATTATACTTTGGATGGTTCAAAATTTGTTATTCTTAATTTGTTATATTGAGAAGTTTGGATTGTTAATTTTTTTCTTTACTTTTTCTATTTAGAAGCATTATTATTATTCTTTTCTTTTCTTTTATTTTTATTTTTCTCTTTCTAATTGATGTTTAGAAGTAGTTGATTTGTTTTATTTTATTTTTCTCGTTCTAATTGATGTATAGAAGTGGTTGATTTGGTAAGTTTACTTTGGATTGTGATTTTTTTTTCTTTTATTTTTTATTTTTGGTTCATTCATAATTTATTATTATTTTGAGTCATTATTATTATTATTATTATTTACTTTTTATTTTTTAGAAGTATCATTATTCTTTTTTCTTTAGTTTTTATTTTTATTTTACTCTTTATAAGTTTATTTTTGGTGATAGTTTCAATGTTTTTTGGTTTTCGGTTGGACTTGATTTTGAATTGAATTTGTTGCTAAAAATTTTTTATATGTTTTTTTTTTTTTTTTTTGTTCATTTTTTTATTATTTTTTATTTTTTATTCATTCTTAATATATTATTTTGAGTCGATTTTTGGTCGAACTAGATTTTAAATTATCTATTTATTATGACTTAATATTTATATGGTCCGCATGAAAAAAATTTATATGTTTTTTTTTATTATTATTTTTGATTCATTCTTAATATATTATTTTTTATATGTTATTTTTTTTTCATTTTTTTTCATTTTTTATTTTTGATTCATTTTTAATATAAGGTTTCGATGTTTTTCGATTTTCGGTTGAACTTGAGTTTAAATTATCTATTTATTATGAATTAATATTTATATGGTCCGCATGTGGAATGGAGTAATGAACACACTAATTTCACATATATACTAGCATCTTCGATGTTGTGTTGTAGTCTCGGCAATGGTAGTGGTAATGTACATTAGTGTACATTTACCAACATGTTACATTTAATTACTTTTCAACACATTAAGAACACCTATTAATTTTTTTGGTGTGGCAAGTATTTCACTCACATTTTACAAATTGTGTACAACGGGGTATTTAAAATTTTATGATAATGATAACTATTTTTTTTTTTTTTTATTTAAAATTTTAAGATAATGATAGCTAAGAACACAAATTTCTATAATGAAAATAAAATAATTTCTATAAAATTTATCACAAATTAGCAATTTTATTTTCTATAAAACTCTATCACATTAACTATTTATTATGAGTTTTATAATAAAAGAAAATCTAATTAGATAAGGATATATTTAAAGAAAATAAAATAATTTCTATAAAACTCTACCACAAATTATCTATTTTATTTTCAATAAAACTCTATCACATAATTCACATTAGACACTGATATATTTAAAGAGTTTTTATAAAACTTGAACACAAATTACCTATTTATCTATTTATTATTAGTTTTTTAATGAAAGAAAATCTATTTAAACTAAAATAATAAATATAAAAAAATATTTATTAATTGTTATAATAAGAGACTTGAAAAGAGTTTCAATAAAACACAAATTACTTATTTATCTTTTGAGTTTTTAATAAAAGGAAATCTAATTAGAAATGAATTATTAATATAATTAAAAGATATAAAAAAAAAGTTTTTAAAAGAGTTTCTATAAAACTTTAACACATATTACCTATTTATCTATTTATTGTGAGTTTTTTTAATAAAATGAAATCTAATTAGAAAAGAATATATTTAAAGAAAATAAAATAATTTCTATAAAATTTACCACAAATTAGCTATTTTATTTTCTATAAAACTCTATCACAATATCTATTTATTATGAGTTTATTCAGGAAAAAAAATTATTATGAGTTTTATAATAAAATAAAATCTAATTAGCTAGACATAAATATATTTAAAGAAAATAAAATAATTTCTATAAAACTTTACCACAAATTAACTATTTTATAATCTATAAAACTCTACCTCATATAACCTATATTTACCTATTTATTATGAATATATTTAAAGAAAATAAGATAATTTAAATAAAAATCAACACAAATTACCTATTTTATTTTCTTTAAAACTTTATCACATATAACTTGTATTTATCTATTTATTATGAGTTTTTTAATAAAAGGAAATCTAATTAGACAAGGATATATTTAAAGAAAATAAAACAATTTTTTAAAAGAGTTTCTATAAAATTCAAACACAAATTACCTATTTATCTATTTATTATAAGTTTTTTAATAAAAGAAAACTAATTAGACAAGAATTATTAATATAAGAAATATTTATTAATTGATATTAAAAATAAAATAATTTCTCCAAAACTCTACCACATATTATTACCTAATAAAATTCAAATACGTGTTTTAGTGTTTATTTATAAATATAAAAAATATATATTAATTGAAAAAAATATTACCTAATAAAATTCATATTACCTAAAAAATTATTTCAAATTACCTAATAAAATTCAAATTACAAATTACCAAATACTTTTATAAAAGGGTTTTCATAAAATTCAAATTAAAAATTACCTAATAAAATTCAAATTATCTAAAAATTTATTTCAAAATATAAATAAAAAATATTAATTAATTGATATAAAAGGAGTTTTTAAAAGAGTTTAAATAAAACTCTAACACAAATTACCTATTTATCTATTTATTATGAGTTTTTTAATAATAAAAAATCTAATTAGACAAAAATTACTAATATAAAAAAAAATATTTATTAATTGATATAAAAAATAATATAATTTCTTTAATACTCTACCACAAATTACCTTTTATTATGAGTTTTTTTAATAAAAGGAAATCTAATTAGACTAGGATATATTTAAAGAAATAAAATAATTTGTATAAAACTCTACCACAAATTAGTTATTTTATTTTCAGTAAAACTCTATCACATGGTACAATGATATATTTAAAGAGTTTCTATAAAACTCTAACATAAATTATCTATTTATTATGAGTTTTTTAATGAAAGAAAATATAATTAGACAATGTTGCCCAGGTATAGACTCTAGAGAGGGGTGAATAAAGTCTTTAGCAAACAATGACCAATTTTCAGATTTGCAAATTCTACTAAACACCCTTCTAACAATTGTGCTATAATCAAGATATAAACATAAGCAATTAATAGCATAAATATAAAGGAGATAAGGGAAGAGAGATTGCAAACATTCACACGGTGATTTTAGCGAGGTTTGGAAATGTAACGACCTGCGTTATGATTCAACCCGGTGGATAAGTGATGAACCGAAGATTGACCCGTTAACGGATCCAGATGCGGAAGCAAGAAACAAGACAATGGTCTCCCAAGGCATAACACACCTCTAAGACCCTTTGATGACCTTCCATGAGGTCACGGAACCCAAATGAATAAGGTGCAGAAGCAACTTGAAAATAAGTCCATAGAGATGTACATTATCCCTAAGACACAAGAATGGACATTGAAAGAGTTTCGAGGCTCAATGGAAATAAAAGGAAGACAAGCGTATCAAAATCCTACCGAAAAGAGGACCAAGAGTAAAATGGTCATTTTACCCAAGGAGGAAGGAATTTAACTTTCAACAAGTCAAATTAGATTAAAAACATCCAAAACCATCCTTTGGTAACTTCACATAAAGTCCCAAGGCCAAAGGAAGAGAAATCCCAGATGAACCCTATCCCGGTTCGAACTAAAACTAACACCCTCTCACTAAAACGAGGATATCTTGAGCTAGGAAAAGAATCAGAAACTAAAATTGGTACCATTGGAAATATGACTTCGACATGGTCAGTTTAGAGTCAAGAACGGACCAATTTGGAGTTAAAACAAAGAAGTTACGTCAGATTGAAGTTGGAAGTCCACAACTGAAAACCCTGGAAGACTTGAACCAGTTCGACATTCTTGAACTGGTTTAACATTGGCAGTATGCCCAAGCTGAATGAAAATGACACCTTGAACCGGTTCAACTTGACCAGAGTTGAACTTAAACAGCAGAAACAGTGTTTTAGTAGA